TTTAATTTTTATATTTTTATTTCATTCATAAAATATATTATTATAATTAATTATATGTAATGTATTATATAATTATATAATTATATAATTTGTTAAATATTTTAAATAGAAAACAATGTTAAAAGATTAGAATAATGAAAGAAAATTCTTTTTGGTGTAATGAGTTGGAGATGAAATAATGATTTGGTGTAAAAACTACACCAACTTAGTGTAAAAATTACACCATTTTGGGTTTTTAGGTTGGAGATGCTCTAATGAGCGACAAAAGGAAGTTTCATATAGTTACTTTCAAAAATAATAGTTACAATAATTGTTTACATCAATCAAAATTTTTAGGACCATTCTTGAATTTCCCTTACTACAGTCTAAAATATTTAGGACTTTGCTTACATTTCTTTCTTTAATTATAACAAATTTACAATCTGAACTGTAGATCTTTGATTCCTCAACCATTTTACCCACAGTCCCATCACTCTTAGACCTTTAAACATAAGCCCTGCACATATTGTACTCCACAACTATAAGTCTATAACTTTCTCTGAGGATTATTATCCTTCACAATTGCCCATTCCCTTTCACGTGCTATCAAAATGTACCGTAATGTAGCAGCCATGCAAGTGTGTGTGTGTGTTGATGTGGGGGGGGGGGGGGGGGGGCTGCGCAGATTTGTCGTGGTGTGTGGTAAGTCCGGGTCGATCCACAATGTTGCTACAGGGTACATGAGAGAGATGGTCCAAATTCTATCGTTGCGGCCAGCAGCGTGAAGACTCAAAAAGAAACTAACTTCGGCCACGGCACAACTAGGGTTGAGCGCAAGCCACGCGGCCAGCAGGCTGAACCGGCCCAGCCCGCCACGGGTCATGATCCAGTGTAGCCCGTAGTGAGCTAGGTCCAATACAGCTCGTGATATACGCGGGTTATGGGTCGGGATGGGTCCAGTTCCAGAACCGGGACTAGAGAAATAGGGCTAGCCCACCTTAACCCGGCTCACCATCGACCCGACCCCAAATTTTAATTATTAGTTTTTAGTTAACATTTTTTTTTTATTTGTAATTTAAATTTAAACTAAAAGAAAATTATTAACATTCTGTGAACGTAGATCTTCCTTTGAAGTCCAAACCATGTATATCTTTGTATTTGTGATGTTTTTCTGTGTGATGTTTATCTTTGTACAATGTGTGTATATATCATTTTAAATTAAGCGTAAAATAGAAAAAATAATTTAAATATAATCTAATAGATACTAATACAAATTTAATATAGTTTAGAAATTAAAATTAAAAAATTAGTAAAAGTTAAAAAAACTCATGCCCGACTCGGTCCTCCCCTAGGCGGGTCATGGGTCGGGTCGGGTCTAATCCCCAGACCCGGGGATCAGAGAAATAAGCACAGCCCACTCTTACCTAAGCGGGCCCGGGTTGGACCCGACCTGGCCTTGAATCCGGCGGATCGGGTCACAGGCTTGAACCAGCCCAGCCCCCTCACCTCTACGCACAACTCTATAATTACATAATCATGTGTACCATCCAGTCCCGTTTGGCAAAGGGTTAAGAGAGAGGGGTTAAAAAGAATGATTAATGTACTTAGCCTATTCAATAATATGAATGACTAAATTATTAACCCGTTAAATAATTTTTATTTTAGTCATTGTGATCAGTTTTAGTGTTTGAGAATAACAATGATTTTGACTATTTTATTTATAATTAGAAGGTTAACTCTTAATCCTTCTAAATAGGAGTATTAGTAAACCCCTTATTTTGAGAGGTTAACTCATTTTAATCCCTCTAAAGGGATTAGCTTAATCCTTCTATATTTTTATGTTTGACAAATTATGGAGGGTTAACTTATTTTAACCATTGTATAGATTTTTTATGTTTGGCGGGTTAAGGAGGGGTTAAGAAGGGGTTAAGTCTTCTTAACCCCTCATTTAACCCTTTGCCAAACGGTACCTCCGTGTTTAAAGAGAATAAATAAATGTCTTTATATACGGTGCGCATAAGTACGACAAGATAATGTAAAATATAAACATTACAAGCAAAGAAAAACAACAAAGCCAAAACAAACATCCCACACAAACAACAAAAATTATATCTAATTATTTAAGTCAGAAAATTCATATTATCAATGAGAGATGCCGTAGTATCTCCACTTTCCTCCTCCCACATGCGCCCCGAATTTAACAGACACATTCTTAGGGGGTTATTGGTTGAGACATTTTGGAGGATAATGGGATAATTTTGGGGATTCTATTTCATAGTGTTATTCATTATGACAATGGAAGAAGGATAATATTTTTTGTGTTATTGATTTTTTGGAACACTAGTGAGACAATTACATCACTTGGGATAAAATTACCACACTCATATACAAAAATTGTCCCAATAGTAAAAATTTACTTCATCCTCCATATTGGAACAATGTTGTTCTACTTTGAAGACAATTGGGATAATTTTAAAATATTTTTGTATAAATAAAATAATATATTATATTAAATATTATATTATTAAAATATTATATTAAATATATTAATATTATATTATATTAATTATATATAGTATAGCATGCTAATATAATATAATATAATATAATATAATAATTAATAATAGTAATTTGAAAGTATAGTACAATATATTATATTTTAATATAAAGTAAAATAATATTTATATTATAATAATATACTAAATAATATACTAAACTAATTAGATAAGTTAATTTTAGAGTAATTAATAGATAAAATTATATTTTAATAATGTGCCACATCATCAATTATCGCACATGAATTGTCAAATCAAAGGCTCAAATTATCCCATTATTCCACTTTATCCCATTTTACCCCACTCAAAATATCCCAAAGGGGTAAAATTGTTTCAATGGAACAATTTTATGAGAACAATTTTTCCATTTGGTCCCAATTTGTCCCAACCAATAACCCATTTTACCCCACTCTAAATATCCCAAAGGGGCCCAGCCACTTTCCTCTCCAATTTATCATATGTTATTTCTCTTCCACCACAAATAGAAACTGAATTGTATATGCCTACCAAAAGAACGGTCATAAATGTCACAAAATTAATGAGTAAATTTAAGATAGTTCGTTGTCTATAATTTTTAGTAGCGCTTACCACCCCCATCAACTCCTCTACTGGTACATTATTACCTATCAGGCCTCAACCGTGGAGAGTTGAGTGCTTAAAAAATCATCAAAATCTCCATTATTTGGGCACACTTCATTATCAATCAAGATATGGGATTCCCATCTAAGCTACGGATCCTCAAAATCCCTATTTTGCAAAAGCTTATACAGCAGCAAACTACAAATAGGATCCATAGAGTCCATACATTCAGCATGTGATTCTTCTCCTGTTAAAAGTCATGATGAACACCTATGATGAACTTCAACCCAAATTCCAATTCAAGTTCCAATTATAAGAAGCACAGACATGAATCCAAGTTTGGACTACTTGATCATTAACAGAAATTTTGGTAATGGGACAAATCATACCATTTCTTCCTATTTTTGTGTCTGGCTCAAGTTCCAATTAAAAGTATTTTAGTTTTTTATGGGCAAAATTTGAGAAGGATGGCAACAAAAAAGGACTCAAAAGAACGAAAGACTCCTTTGTCTGCCTTTGCTGTGCTAAAATCTCTGCTCCAAATGCACAACTTGGTACATGCCATAGCTTTAGACAAATCAAAAAACAAGTATGTGGTTAACCATAATACCTACCTTCAGGCTTCTGCGGATATCAAAAAGGCATCATATTCATGGCTTTTATGTACTTTACGATAAAGACACAGAGTTTTCTGGCAGTGGCCCCGGCCATTTTATAATAATCAGAGTTTGACACCCAATAAATCTGCGAGTCGTTCGAAATCTTAAAAGACTTAAGCCGCTGTTTGGATGCTTTTAGGAAATTAAAATATTTATGACACAAAATAGAAAGTGGTTATCTACCTCATCATTTTCCATTCGAGTGTTTATATTGTTTGGTTAGGAATCTTTGTGAATCCTAAAATAATAGTATTACATTGTTTGAATAGTATAATGTAAACTAGAGTATTTATGACACAAAATAGAAAGTGGTTATCCACCTCACCACTTTCTACAAGGTTTTGACTTTTTTATTATTTTTTTGGACACATTTATGACATTGTGTCAGCTTTCCAACAAAATCACTCCTAATTTTGGTGATTTTGCTTTCGGTAACACCTCATCAAAAGTTGTAAGCTTTTCATGTAAAAGAGAATTTAAACAAACAATGTAAAGTGATGAAAGCTGACATTGGGACCCATTTTTTTACACTTTCCATCATTTTAAATGGTAAAAACATACAACCAAACAGCCCCTTAGCTCTGCACATATTGGGGATAATTAAGATAGACACCCAGTGATGTTGCAAAATTGCGGATAGACCACCTGTACTATCACCAAATTGCACACAGGTCCCCTTCACTTCTATTGTTGCAAACATACTCCTTGAATCCCCAACCCCGTTAGCTTCATGTTAAGATTGAGCTTCACGAACTAAAACATATAAGCTTATTAAACTGATGTACGTACTTTATACTTGCGTAACGATTTTTACATATAATTAATTGAAATGGAGAAACAACGGAGTCGAAAATATATGGGGTTTACCGTAACAATAGAAGTACATAGGTCTATCCGCAATTAACCGTCATCTATATACCTAGTCTCCCTCTTAACAATAGCAATTGACAGTTTAAATCGTTTTTAGGAGAATTGATAATACATTTGATTTCCAATTAAAAAATCATATAGGTTTAAATGTTAAATCCCATTTCCTTAAAATGCATCTCGTAACAAGAGATGGCCATCAACATGTGCATAAGTTGTTTAAACATGGAGAAAATGAACCCAGTCTTATCCATCCACTAAAAAGAATCAGTGAAACTTTAATCGAAAGAAGTGTAAAGAGGACTATTCAACAGAACCGAAGTAAGAACCTTTTGCCCCCTTATACCTTCCTCTCCCCTTGCCTCTGTTTATATTCCCTCTTTCCTTCGAAAGATTCAATCCTCTTCTCTTCTCTCTCTCTCTCTCTCTCTCTCTCTCTCTCTCTCTCCCTCTCTCATGGAGAAACAAGCAGCAGATCAATATTCTTCTCTCCTAAATCAGATCTTTTCACACCCTCTCTTCTCCATTCTCACCACCTTCCTCCTCTTAAATTTCCTCTATCTTCCCAACCTGTTCTCTCTCCTCTTCTCCCCTGTTCTCATCATCACCTCACTCCTCCTCACAATTCTCCTCCATTTTGGATCCCCGAAACCCGAACCATCTCCAAACAAAACAAATCCAATCCAAACACAACACGAAACCCGACACGAGCCACCTCATGATGTGGAACTTCAGGATGAAAAGACCAGCATCCTCTGCAACTCCTTCGCCGAATGGGGTCGAAGAAGTGGTCCCCTCGAAGTCATATACGAAGAATATGAGGGAGAAGCGTACGATGTGGTCGGCTCGCCGGAATATTCCAAGTCACCGGAATATTATAGAGTTATGATGAGTGCTAGAAAGAGATTGGATTGTTTTGGTTATGGCAGTAGCACAGATTCTGATGCAGATAGTGATGAGTCTTTGGAGAATAATATCAGCTTTAGATGGGATGACGAGGAGGAGGAAGGGATGATTGAGATTGCATTGGAGGAGGATAACCTCATTGAGATTGATCTCTCAGCTTGCAAATGAGATAATTTTTTTTAATTCTCTCTCTTTTCTGTATTGCTTAAATTTTGAGTATTGGAAAGTTTGCAAGTTTTTTCTTTTGTTTGAGTTGGTAGCTGGTGTGTTCTTACTGCATGCGTATCGATGTCCATGGACATAGATTAGAAGAGGATTTTGTAATACCAAGAATTTTGATTAGTTTTGAAATTACAAGGTGTGGTGTACTGGATACTATTTAATGGTTATATTTAGATATTGATTTATTTAAACTCAGTTGTAGTATCAAGAAATTTGGATGGCTCACTTAATTCTGACTACTGTAAGTTAATTAATCATTGACAATAGAATATAGAAGTTTGCAAGCCTGTTAAATAAATTATACCATTATATAGTCACTCAAGAATATGGACAGAACACAGGTTAAGCTTGGATACTTGCAGATATCTCCATTTAGGAAAATAATTAGTAGGGTAAACCAAAATCCAGTAAATTTAGTTTAAGATTAAATTTTGTGTCTTTCTAAGATTCAGAAATGTGTCACATTGATAAGCAGAAGCATATTGATTTGCATAAATGAGAACTAGTAGACATGAGCTGTTAAAATTATTTCGTTTTCTGAATTGTTCAATTTCTAGGGACAAAGGTAGTTGGTGAGCAAGGTACCATAAAATCATTGATAAAGTTTCCTATAATTCCAGCAATAATTTGAATGTGACTTCCATCCAACTTTTCCCTCGTCTCCTTTTCTCAGCCTAACTGTCTTACTTATAGAACAATTTTGCTCAGATATCTACCATCAATCTTCGACTGTGATCTCTCCCATCATAAATTTTGAATACTTGCATGCATTAATATCTTCATGTTCTTTAGAGATATAGGAATTTTGAAAAATGAGATGATATGTGAGAATGGGAAATTTCCACATTTTCGGCTGCAAGTGCAATACTTGCTATCATGGAAAGATGCTACTCCGTTCTCCCATGAAGGGAGAATTTGATACTTCACCAAAATGCTAACAATGGAGGTCAAAGAGGGATATTGTACACAGAGGAGGTTGAGACATATGAGCCTAGGGGTGGGCGTGGGCCGGGTCGGTTCAGGCCTGTGACCCGGCCCNGTTCAAGGCCGGGCCTAGTCTGACCCAGGCCTGTCCGGATCAGAGTGGGTCGGGTCTATTTCTCTGATCCCGGGTCTAGCATTGGACCCAGCTCGGCCCACGACTTGCCTACTGGCGAGCCTGGTCAAGCCCGACCCATGGCCCTCGAGTTGTGAGTCGGCCCATGAGTTTTTTTTTAACTTTTTTCTATTTTTTTATTTTTAATTTCTAAACTATATTAATTTTGTATTAGTATCTATTAAATTATATTTAAATTATTTTTTCTATCTTACTCTTTATTTAAAATGATATACACACACATTGTACAAAGATAAACATTACACAGGAAAATATCGCAAGCACAAAAATATATCTGGTTCGGACTTTCAAGAAAGACCTATGTCCACGGGAAATTAATAACTGTCATTTAGTTTAGATTTAAATTACAAATACAAAAGGAAAAAAATGTGAACTAAAAACTAAAAACTAAAATTAAAATCTCGAGTCGAGTCTGGTCAAGCTGGGATGGGCCGGGCCGGATCGATGGTGGGCTGGGTCAAAGTGGGTCAGACTTATCTCTCTAGTCCGCTTCTGGAGCTGGACCCAGCCCGACACGTGACCTGCGTATATCACGGTCCGGGTCGGGCCCAACCCACTATGAGCCAGGCTGGATCATGACCTATG